ATATTTAAGAATTACAGTTTAATTATAATTTGTGAATACCTATTAATAACATAATAAATAATTTTTAGGACGTAACTTTGATGAAATTATTCGCGTTATTGACTCTCTTCAACTTGGTGACAAGCATCGTATTACTACTCCAGCTAACTGGAAGAAAGGCGATGACGTCATTATTCATCCTAGCGTTACTAATGAAGAAGCAGCAACATTATTCCCTGATTATAAAGCACCATTGCCCTACCTTCGTTTAGCCAAATCTCCTTTCTAAAAAAAAAAAACGAACAAAATTCTATATTATATGCTAATCATATTACAATGATAAATACTATGCAATACATTTAGCGCTCATTTAGCGCTCATATTTGATGTTATTAACTTTATTATGCACATTTATAAAAAAAAAAAAATCTATGTAATAAAATTTGGTTTTATAATATCCAAATAATTTTATTTTAAAGATTCTTATTGTGAATTGAAAATGTGAACAGAAAATCTTTAATTTTTTTTATAATAGTTTTAATAATAATTAACAATGTCTAGACGATCGTTCAATGACGCAAACAATTCATCAAACTTAAACATCATACATGATAATTTGATGATGATGAAAGTATCATATATATCATCTGGGTTGATAAATTTAACTTTCTCTTTTATTTAATACATTCAGATATTCCAGTATTCAGACTTCACAAACCTTCAGTTTTTTTTTTTTTCATAATGTATCGATCGATAGTAAATACAGAAACTGACTCATCGTTATCGCCTCCACCTTCTTCTTTAACAACTGAAGATGAAGATGATTCTTCAATTTCTTCATACCAACAACAAAATTTTTCGAGTCCTTCATCGTTAAATTGTTCGGCAAGCACTTCACCTGTAATCGAACAGGAAACCATCGTCAAATGCAATGATGATAGCGTTCCTTCATTAACACAAAGAGCGTCAGAACTTCATTTTATGGTACAAAAATTAATAAATACTCATTTACCACATCTTCAAACTAAAATTTTAAAACAACAGGATTTTACGAAAGAAGTAGATGATTC